CTCCAAGTTCACTAGGTATGATCTGAAATTTAATTTTTTTTTTACAATGACTCTAACTGACCATAATTTATTAAACTTGTCTTGAACCAATACCTGGTCACCTTAAACAAACTCTTCAGGTCTTATACAATGTCGATTGTAATAAACTCTTTGATTGTCTTTGTTACATACTTTAGGATCACTAATAATTTTCGATAAAAGATGGTGATCGCCAATTGGTAATTTTGTTCTGAGGATTCTACTTTGGGGGAGATGGGATGAAATTTCGCAAAAAAATAATCATGCCAATATATTTCTGCAAATCCTCGACATTTCTTGGGGGTTTCAAATTCAAGATGGATTAAATTCTGTCTTTATCCACTTTATAACCAGTTTTGGTAAATACGAATCCCAAATATCTTACCTTGTCAACAAAATATTAAATTTTTCAGCATTAAACTTTATATTATATTTTCTGGCCACAGATATCACCTCAACTGTGGTTTTAAGTTCCTCTCCTGATTCGACAAAACATAGAATCTCATCAAAATAGACAATAACATTTTTTAAAGGACCAAAATACTTGAACATTAATTTTGTAAAAATCGAGGCAAAACTGAAAGACCAAAAGGAGCACGTAAATATTTATACACACCAAAGAGTTTACTAGACTCATCGTCAAAGTGAAGTTGGTGAAATCTATGTTTCAGATCAAATAAACAAAAATGACTTTTATTAGCTAGCTTTAATTTAATTTCCTCTAGAGTAGGTATTTCATAATAATCTTTGAGCAAGAAATTCTTTAAAAGATTGGGATCTATACACAAACGTAGACGAGTCGGGCTTTTCAACAATTACGAGGCCATTGATTCATTCACAGGCTCAATTAATTTTTTAGAAAATATATCATCTAAGCAACTTTTTAATTTTTCTTTGATTTTGAATAAGACCCTACTAGCAGGATGGGCCCTGAGAGTGGCATCTTTAGAAAGTTTTAACTTACAAATGTCAGAGAAACAACCAAGGCTAACCACGCTCGGTGTTGCTTAACTTGGTTACCTATTGCAAACACTTTAAGCCCACATGGCTACCCCAGCCCCAGATATATATATATATATATATATATATATATATATATATATATATATATATATATATAATTTTTATAGTTGTACACTAAAATAGTAATTAATATTATACTCAGGGGTGCTCACCCGGTCCAAAGACAATAAGGCATTCTTCTTTCAAAGATATCCATCATTTTATTACTATTATCTTCTTAAATTCGGCGAAAATGAAAGATAAATAGTAGCATAATTTTTCTCCCTGTATCTTGCTTTAAAAGTTCTTCTCAATGAAAACTCCATAAAAATAAGGTTCCTTTCATAAATTCAAAATCTCTTAAATGCCTTGGTAATTCTTAACTAAGGGCATGAGACCCCTTTCTCATCTCCCATCATGTTATCTCTCAATCCCTCCTGGCACATTTTGTTGAATTTATAGATTTCCTCTGTAACTTTTACCATATTATTGCTGTAATAAAACCAGGATCAAAACAAATAGTCCCACTTCTTCTATATACATTTCGAATATACCCTATTATATATAATCTCATTTGTTATGATTGTACGGACTAAACAGATGGAGGTGTTATTTTCATGATAGTTTGAGGGTAAAAATCCTTCACAAATTCCGTCCTTAAATTACCTTGATCCTTCCCAAAATTTAATATTCCCCTCTTAGAATCCGACAATTTTCCTTTCAAATCATGATCTAATTAAGATTTCCTATAACATTATGACCATATGGACTTCAAAGAATCTACATATTCTGCAACTCCCCCAAATGAATGTGAATGACATCATGACCCTGACAACTAAGGAAGGCACTAATAAGATTTAAACAATAATTAGATCTATTTATGTTCCGCATCATTTAGATTCTACATATCAATATATAGATAGAATTTACCAATTTGTCAATAAGATGACTAACCAATTCTAATAGGCAGGGATATAAATGTCCACAATCTTATGTGGGGTAGTTCAAACACCAATGAGCAAGGTGAAGCCTTGCTGGAACATATAGCCGCAACTGACTTAAAAATACCAAACAAAAGCCACTTTTGAGATTAGGACAAATAGTGAAGTTTTAGATATACCACTCAAATAAAATAAATTAAAAGTCTGTGCAAAGACTGGATCATCATCTCAGACATTACCCTTATTGGATGATTTCATTTAAGATAGATTCTGTATATCCCTCTCCTTTCCTTACGAGAAATCAAGAAATACTGATTGGAAACTCTTCAGGGATACTGAGGAAATTTTTTTTTTTTTTGAATTATTAGAAATATTTATTTATTTACAAAAAAAAAGTGATATAATAATCAGCACTATCTGCATACGTATGTACATTTACAGTTTTACAACTAAACCTAGGATAAAGGAAATTTAATAAAACTTTTGGCAATATCTTTTATTTTATAGCCATGTACTATGCATTTCATAAACAGAAAATAAAACAGCTTATTTTTTTACAAGAATCTTTTGTATGTCTTCTCGTATTGTCAGATAATCAGTAAAGGTGACTTTAAAAAAATAAAACATTCAATTATGTTTTTATTACATCCATCATTTCTAATAAAAATTGTTATGAATAGGAAATATATATATAAAAAAAGGAAATCATGAAACATGTAAGGAACATAGATAATACATAGGTATGTTAAATTTTATGAATAAATAAATGTTAAAAAGATAAAATCATTATCTTTCTCCAATAGTTCCATCTCTTGGTTCCAATATTTCCTCTCTAAATTCACCCAAGCAGTCTCCATACCCATTCAACGACTATCTACCTACCTTTTTTTATCCTCTGGAGCTTCTATATTAACGACCTATATAATTCAATTCTCCACTGTTCCCACCACCTTTATACAGACGATTCCCAGATATACCTATCCTTTTCTCTCCCTGGGTTGCTTCCATGTCTCTCACCACTACACTGAGTTAAAGTGACTCTTCCCCTCCATTCGAAGACAATATTACCTAGGTACGTTCCTCTATCAAATCATCAACAATCATCATCCTCCTTACGCCTAAAATCTCCAATTCAAGTCCTCAGTCCATTCCCTTTCCACAAGATCTCGACCTTCCGGCCTTTACATCCCTTCTCACAGATCTGCCTTATTTCAAAACTCTTTTATTGCTCATGCTGTCAATTTCTGGAATTCCTTATCTATCAAAATTCGGCATTCTCCCTCCATATCCACATTTGAAACCCTCCTATTCAAATTCCTATGCCAAAAACAGCCAGATGATTGCTAAGCTTTTGATATTATACATTTATATTATATCATTCATCATAAAATGATAGTACTATTCCATACTGTAAACTTTGCTAGAGATATTACAATATCTTCCTACTCTTAATGCCACTGAATGGATCTATTGTTTGTTTTTACAATTATTTTTTTATTCTTATACAACTAAATCTGTACCTATAGTAGCAATAAGATAATGATGTGTTTATATATTATTCATTGTATAAATACTCCGACATTTTATATTGCCAGATTCAACTTTCCTTTGTTAGCACAAACACTATTTTCTATTTCTATATCTATGTTTGTAGAATTCTTTGGTAATAAATAAGTTTATAGATTAAAGATATTTTGTTATTATTATAATATGAATTTATTATATTTAAGATTTAATTAAACAAATTGACATTTTATTTTGTTCTTTTGTAGCTTTATATTATTTGAAGTTAGCTAATTTTTTTTATTTTTTTATTTTTTTTTATTTGTAAATATAGTGTGAATGTGCTCTCAGAACTCTATTATAAATGTCCTTTATTGAGACAGATTGTAATATTTATCAATAAACCAACAAAAAAAAAAATTAAACAAATAAAGTTCTTTTCACACTTTTTTATTATTTACAAAAAAAAAAAGATTACACACCATAATGGTAATGCTCAATTCATTCAACTAGCTTTGCTAAAGGACAGAATATCATTGATAAAGTGTTTGTCATTTTAACAGAATACATCATATTTTACTCAAACTAAATATTTGTTATATAGCTTGTTTTTATTAAGTTTTTCATACTTTATAAAATAGGTTTCTATCTACTCAATAGTAATCACGACAATATCATAAAATGTGTCAGGCAATTGTAACCACAAGCATGTATTTATTATTTATGATATAACTAAAATAAGCATAAAGTAAAGACATAAAGTATTTATGCTAAAATGGAAAATTCTAAACTACAAAGCCATGAGTCTCCAACATATAGATGAATAGTAAACTTGTTCAAAATATGTATTGAAGGAAAAATAAAGTTCTATTAACACAGCTAAGGAAGATTATGTTGGACAGCTGATAAGCAGGAAAACAAGAAAAAAAGAAAAAATTACGCATAACTAAAAAATAATAATACAAAACGTGTTAAATAAAAAATTAGTAAATTCAAAAGTAAAAGCTTAAAAGTGTTGCCATTCCCAACAAAACTCAGTGGATACACGGTCATTCTACTAGTAATATTAATAAAATAAGCATAAAGCTATAAAAGAGGCATAAGGTAATTATAATATATAATATATTGCAACAATGTGTAAATAAACAGTAATTTTAAAAAAAAGTAAAGAGGTTTTTGTTTTTAGTTTATTTATTCCAGATTTTCATTAAAGTTGTTCTATTCACCCCTAATACTGCATGGTTTACGCAGAGAAATGAAAAAACCTGCAGTAAAAAATATAGAAAGTGATGTACAAAAAATAAGCATTAGCTTACAAAATTATCTAGATAATGAATGGATTAAAGAAAGAGACCAAGTCTATTGATGTTGACTTTTTAAAAATTTATTTAATAAAACTAACAGCTTAAACGAATTGAATTAAAACAATACAAAAATATAACAAGAAAATCTGATATAAAATACAATAAATAAAATATACTATATAATAAATATAAACATATATATATATATATATATATATATATATATATATATATATATATAAAATTCAAGTTCAATTCCCACACGGGTTGGTATAAATTTATTTTTTAGCATAAACATGCAACTAAGTGTAGCATAAACACTCAGCTCAGGAAAAGCTGGCCACCCTTAAACATGTTTTGGGACTTAATGTAATGAACACATGAGATCTTCAATACTTATTGATACCTACTTTCAATCAAGAGGATACAGTAAAACTACTCCTCACTTCTGACTATAGGAATACCATTAACTAAATTATTTAGTACATTTTTAAATAGGATATGACTAGATTTCAAGTATATTATTCTAATATGAACCCTTAATATGTATCTGCAATTGAATTGATTGCACTGAAAACTGTAAATAATTCAATAACTCTAGTAACACATTTATTTTTAATTTTTTATCGTCCAACTTACTTAGAAAAAAAATCCTCAGATATAATAAACCCTGATTTTTTTCTTAATAAATTATTCCTAGCAGTATTTAATTCTTTTTTAAAATCAGGCAAATGTGGCTGATGTGTATGAACACTTGTCATTTTTTAAAAATCTAAAAGAATAGTAAATTTAGTAAACAGTTTCATTAGGATTCCAAGATATTATTACAAATAAATTTAATTTTATACAAAGATGTCAAGATTAGATTACGTTTTTTACTCTTAAATAATTTTTAAACCAACATAAAATAAACATAACACAATTTGAACAACACTATATTAACAAATTCATCTTTTAGATCATCGTAATGCGCCTCAATCTTTCTTTAATAATGTCCATAACAGCTAACAGATTGTGCTGAACAATAAAACACACAATAAATTTTTTTTTAAATATATACATTGCAATATAAAATCATTATGCATACCTGAAAAATTTGTACACCCAACATCGTTACAACAACAAGCTCTTTAACACCATCTCCAGTGATATCAATATAGTTGATGGAATGTATTGAATGGGAAAATTTATGTTGACCACGTAACATCCAAATTCCATTGGTATACGTATAGATCAATAATTCCTTGAATAAATTATCACAGATAAACACAATGCAGTTTTTAATATCTACCAGAAGATTATATAATTTTATAAAATTAAATTAAAACAATAATACCATCAAATTATTGTTTGATACAGCCAGGTGAAAATGGCTGAAATTGGGGCTTTTCTGTTCCACTACTTACACCGTTTGACTTATAATATGCTTCTTTGGGGTGATATTTTGCAGTATTTTTGTCATATTTCTTAAATTTTTAACATTAAAAATGTTAATTTTTCTACATCAAACATTTTTTTCTCATAGTTTTAAATTGATAAGAAAAGTGAATATTGCTACATTTAACGAATTTTAAACTTTATTTTTATTATAACGTTAAACTATAATATAAATTGTACCCAAAATAACAAATGTATGTATGTAGAACATTAGGAGATCTTTGAACTTTCCCTTTTATCTTCACTTTTATTCAAGGCATTTCCAAAGACAATTAGGAAACGAAAAAAGACATGAAGCAATATTATAAATCATTTTCAACAATTAAACATAAACAATAGTATTATTTAGATTTTGTTTTGGAAAAATAACAATTTAATCATTTCAAAAACATTACAAAATCTTAAGGCACTATGTAGAAAAAACAAAATAATGATGTAATTAAAAAAGATATCACTGTTGAGCATGGGGTGAGAATGACCATAAATCCATGTGGCAAGTTACCTCATGTCAAAGAAACTTTGCCTTCTGTTAAAAAATTTGCTAGTACCATTTAGTTCAAAAAATCGTTAGAAAATCTTACATTTGTTCACAGGACTTATCCATTAGTACCACAACAAAAGAAACGATAATCAGATTAAGGAGATAATCATAACTTAAAAGGTTTTACCAATACGACCAAAATTAATGAACATAACAAAATATCCTTAATTTTTTTCTGCAAGAAAATGTTCGAATAAAATTATTGAGAAACATTAACTTATAGAAAATTATCTGAGTTCACATAATCTACCTGTGAATGAAAACAAAAATGAAATGTTTTAAGAAGTTAAATTAACATTTTCTCTACTTTCAGCAATTCTCATGTCATTTGTCAGTAGTAAAAAAGTCAAAGTTTAACCATTCACGAAATAAAGAAAACAAGAAATGGATTAAGTCATTTTACAGTAGGTAACATTTGTAATAAAGGTATTGAAAAATAAAATATCCAATATAGAAAGTGTATTTGGTGACTCGTAAACTGTTTGAAACAGTTGAAAAGCCCAGTAGGGATTCTATCAAGAGCTAAAATTAAGAAATACAACTACTGATGATTCTAAGGTATCACTACAGGAAAACCTAGTTACAGGGTATCTACAAGAGTCTGTCAATTAGTTTCCCTACATTTTCCTGTATCCCTCCAAAATAAGATATAATTCAATAAAAATCTTTTGTCACAATATGTAAAAATATTTATTAAAAGATTAGCTGTAAGTAAGATTAAAAAATAGAAATTTTAAATCAAACCAAACTCCAATAAGGTCTAAAGATTAGAACATCACAGTAAAAAAATAAACAACTTTTGATCTCCAAAGTTAAAAAATAATGATGTCCTGCACTAACTTACAAGGAGAAAGTAGGGTAAAGACGAAATTACCTAAAAAACTACATAATTATTATTAATGTTTACTTTTTTTTAAAATAAACTCCTAGACAAAATTAATGCATCACCTTGAACTTTATGTTTATTTCTTAGAATGGAACTATCTGTTGCTGAGAGATAGCCCTCCAAATAAGAGAAGGAGCTTGCTAAATGGGAATCCAAACGAGAAACACATCAGTTCTAAGTCGAAAATTAGCCATCTGGGATGTGAAATCATTGTAAAGGTCCATTTTATATTTTATAATCGGGGATTATTCCCTTTGGTCTTTGGAGACCTTTAGCGGCCCTAGCCTTCACGTAGTTCATGCCCCCCCTATGAAACTGCACCATCACCAGCCACTCACCACATGAAGAACAATTATATTTTATTATTTTTGTATATATATCATTTGTAAAAATGCATGTTTTATTTTTATATCTATACTTTCAATGTATGTTTACTTTATTCAATAAAGTTGAAGCTATATAAAATTAATTGATCAAAAAATACAAACAGTATATTCGGGTACGACTCTTGTTACCCATGTTTTACATCAAGACATGATTCTACAAGCCGAAGGAGCTGGAAATCAGGCCTTCCAGGTAGATTTATCAGTATATTTCATATACGCTTTTTGGTTCTACAGCAATCTGCCTTTTATTTCACTATGTCCCTTTAACCTTTTCTTCTTTTCATCCTCCTCTCATTTTGTCTAATGCATCTTCCTTCATCGACTAAATCAGTTTTATCTTAATTTTCACCAATTTGGATTCCGCACTTCCCATTCCACTATACAGCAATGTCATCGTGTGGTAGACGTAGTCTCCTCTGCATTGGAGCACGGAATGTACTGTACGGGAGTCTTTCTCGACGTTGAACAGGCGTTTGATAGAGTTTGGTATCCGGGACTACTGTACAAACTCCGAAAATTTCTACCACCTACATACTTCCTCATTATCCGTTCCTACCTTACTGATAGATACTTTAAAGTCAATCATAACAATGCTTATTAATCTCTTTTTAGTCATTCTGCCGGTGTTCCTGGTGGTGGTCAAGTAATCAAGCATTATCTGCACCATTTAAATGGGGAAAAACTCCTGTCTTTTAAGGAAGTAATTTTACTTCTTTCCATAATTCTTTTTTTTTTTGTGTGTGTTGTCTTAAATTATGTTATGTTGCAGAAATAGGCCATTAGATCACCAAGAAAGATTAGAGAATTTATCAACTTTTTCTAAATAAGATAGTAATATACCATAAAAATTACATACTATGATAGCTAGGAGTAATAACAATTCTGTAAAAACATATCACGTAAGACATTTTAGGGACATCAGACTAAGATTTTATGGCATCATCTAAGAATAGAATAAACTGGTGAAATCTGACACAAAACCTCAACCAAGAATTTTGGAAAAGGTGGCAAATTGAACACTTGCACACATAGCAACAGAAGGGAAAAAAGGGCAGATTACCATTTGAACAGTTGATGAAGGATCACGTTATAATTCAAGATGAAATTCTTTCACTTTCCAAGTGGACCATTGAGTGGATTTAATTGATTTTTTTTTGTTGAGATGGTGTTACGCGGATGAAATCTTTTTTATTTTTATTGTATTACCCCCTATCCACTATTTCTGGCATACGAGGGAGTTAGTCTAGAGGTACAACCAAACCTATTCTAACTAGTGTGGGAAGGTCAAGTTCCATGGCGTAGGTCTGCCACGAAATAAAAGTCAACTCTTCCCAGGCCGGATTCAAACCGGTGCTACAAGAATGCTACAACGGGCAATGCTTCAACACACTTGGCCATCACGACCTCATACAGATCAATTTGTCCATTTTCAGAAAGGTAAGCCCTTCAGTTTCACAGTGATGGAATCACTCTAAGGGGAGGGAGGGAGGTCTTTAGTCATTAGTAAACACACCCTCTGAACCTTTTGTGATAAGAAATCCATCTTTGTAAAAGCTGGCATGTTGATGATACTGATTTTTTTTATGAATATCTTTAATCTTTGTACAACCAAAGATTTGTACAACTTTCTTTCTTGCTTTTATCTTTCTCATGTAACAAAACAAAATTTTTCAGTCTAACCAAATTTAAGATCAAATATATAAATGAACATACACTTTTTAAATTTACTTACTTTTGCAAAAGTTCCTATTAAAATTTCTGATTTTGAGTCCATGTTAACATCTGCTATGCAGGCACACAGAGCTATATCATGCTTATCACTATCTGGAAGTATTAACCTTTTGTCGAATTTTTGATTAATGACATCCCTAAAATAAATATTAAAAAGCTAATAAGGCAACTTATAAATACATATCAGATACATCAACATAATAAATCATTAATGTGTTGTATTATATTTAACAGTAAACTTAACAAGAGAGGCTCTTTTTATATCTAATTTCTTTTTTTACAAGATGAATTGTAGTGAGTACAAAATTATGTATAAAATGTAAGGATAACTAAAATGCAACACAGATTTTTAAATAAATAAGTAAACAATTACAGAAAATCAGGAGCTCAATAAGTATTATAAGCAAACTAATTAATAAAGTGGGAAAAATTTTATATTATTTTTTTTAAATAATTCTTAACAGATAAACTGTCAAATAAGTAGATTTCATAATGGCAGGAGGGACCATGGAGGTGAACGGTTGTCAGCTACAGATAGCCTCAGCACATCAAACCAGTTTTCTTCAGTGTACAGCTAGTTTTTAATCAAGTAGCTGATATTTTACTCTAAAGAGGCTAATATAGATCATATAGATCCTATTAAATTAGGTAAACTAACGAAGTATAATTAAATGAACAGATGTTACATTATTCAGATAAAATCTTCAAAAGCCCCAGAAATTAAAGCCATGCCATCATGAAGCAATGAAACTACCCACTAAACTACAGAGCAGTGATGCAGACAGTCCAGTTTTTGCTTTTAGCCCTCACTAAAGCCTATTGTGCACAGTCCTACACTCTGTTAAAACAGGTCAATAACCTTTGGGAAGTTCTATATGCTGTTAGGATCAATCAATTCGCAGATCTTAGGATCAATACCGTAAGATGGGGTAACTTTGGTACTGAGTGGGTAATTTTAGGACCACAGGTAAAATTTAGTTTGTGGTGGATACACTGTGTTGGTTCAGTCTGTAAAAACAAGTATGTGTAGCATGTACTGTACCTGCTACCATTCAGCAGAAATGGAGTATTCTCCAGCAAAGATATACTAAGAGGCATTTTTAAACTTAATATTGAAAAAATTAAAAGCCGGAGACTAAGAAATATGCTGCAAGAAACGGCACTAAACTAATGATACTGAATAAACATTTTGATTCCATAGAAAATAAACATTGGAATCTAGAATCATTTCATTGAATTAAGGATTAAGGGTTATTGTCCTCTATATTAACATTCCTAATTGAAAACAAACAAAAAGATTACCTATTTATTCATTAAAAATAATAAACCAATCCAAAGCAGAAATATTTTTAGATGAAAACATGAAAAAATCAAGTGGGTGCAATTTTTTGCCTGTCAGTGTATATGTTGTAAGCTGAAGCAAATAAACCATATAATATAATCTTTTATCACTCACTTACATAAAAATTACAGATGGTTGTAATGTATTGACAACAAGAAGGTTAAAGCAGTGACTCTCTCTAACTTCTAGCAAAGCACTCTTTTCTCTTAAATTTCCTAAAAAATAACAAAAAGACTAAGTCTTATAAATTTAAATTAAAACCTTAAAATAAAGATTAGCAATTTAAATAGACATCCTTTCATGATAAACTGTTATTTCCATATTCAGGAGAAGGTTTCCTATCATTGTTTATACAAGACAGTCACAGGAATCAGGTCACACAATTATACAAACATACATAGAGGATATTAATTTTTTCAAGTATTAACTCAGGCAAATCGGTCAATAAATGCTGAGACTGTTCTGGTTGTATTAATTTTTGCATAATTTAATCAATTATTTTAATTTGGTTGGAAAATATGGTTGGAAAACAGTATCGCCAAAGATCGTAGCCTAAATACCTCACATCATCAACCCAACTGAAGTCCAATCCATTCTCAACAGAACACTGTACAGTTATATTATATATAGTTCTTTTTTTTTTAAATAGTGTTAAGTTATAATAGAGTTTGTTATATATGGGGGTTGAATAACAATATCACCAAAGATGCATACATACCTCTCATCATCGAACTAGCTGAAGACCAACACTTTGCCAAATTTTGCAGTTTTAAAATTTATTATTACATCGATTAAACTTAATATTTTATGTTTATATTTTTGATTTTTTTTAAAAATAATTCTAGCAACCTATATTCATGTTACACTTATTATTTTATTTTATGAAAAGTATATTCTAGTATTGGTCTGCACATATAAATGGGAGTTCTGGAAACGTCATATATATAAATTATTATTATTTTTTTAAAAGGGAGTAGCTTTATATCTAATACGAGATACGAGATACGAGTAGATAGTATTTTATAGAGATGGGCAGTATTCGATTACTTTCATGATATGAGTAATTTTATTAGGAAAAAGTATCGAGTAGTTTCTGTACTCGGCCTGACATCGGCGAGTACTGAGAGTACTCACGCAGCGTCAATCATGATTTAGTTAAGTACAGAAAATACTCGCGCTGTTATATCGAATTACAGAAAGTACTCAGCCCAATTCCTACAAAGAGTACTTTTTATTTTTCAACTACTCCGTCACTATTATAAAGAGTAAAAATGTTTTCTTTTATTATCTTCAATAATAGCGGCCATATTCGACCTGACCAACCCCGAGCCCCCATTAATTGATATTAGACTAACCATCATGTTTTGGGGGGCCTTTTTTATAAAAATATACTGTCGGATTTTAGATAGTGCCCCCCGGGCATCGAATTTTCATAACTTTTCCGATTAAATCGATATCAGGGTCGACTACTATGTTTTGGGGGGCGCTTTTTATGAGAATGATATCGAATTTGAGATTGGGCCCACCGGGCCCCGACTTTTTTTAACTTTTTGAATTAAATCGATATCAGGGTCGACTATTATGTTTTGGGGGGCGCTTTTTATGAAAATGTTATCGAATTTGAGATTGGGCCCTCCGTGCCCCGACTTTTTTTAACTTTTTGAATTAAATTGATATCAGGGTCGACTATTATGTTCTGGGGGGCGCTTTTTATGAAAATACTGTCGGATTTGAGATTGCACCCAGTGAATTCACTTTTTGGAATTAGTCGATATCAGGGCCGTCTATTATGTTTTAGGGGACGGATTTTATAAAAAAAAATCCGACATTATTTTCACAAAAAGTATCCCCCAAAACCTCATAATCAACATTGATATCGATTAAATCCGAAAGGTTACAAAAAGTCGGGCCCCGGGGCACTATCTCAAAATGAATGAAAATCATTCGTAATCTGATATTATTTTCATAAAAAGCGCCCCCTAAAACCTAATAGTCGACCCTGATATCAATTTAATCCAAAAAGATAAAAAAAGTCGAGGCCTGGGGGGCCCAATCCCAAATTCGATCTCATTTTTATAAAAAGCGCCCCCCAAAACATAATAGTCGACCCTGATATCAATTTAATCCAAAAAGATAAAAAATGTCGTGTCCAATATGAACTTCATTAGCAAACCATAAGATTGAAGATGGAGAAAAATTAGGTCCCAATGAGTATAATCTTTGGGCCCAATGAGTATAATAGGCCCACTTGCCAGACTTTTCTCCTCACCTTTGCGAGTAGCAGTTCACTCCATCATTTTTCTACATTCATGATGGAATAGAGTGATTGGATTTTGGTATGGCATTATGAAGTTTAGCACCAGTGGAATTCCAGCTACTTTGCATCACTCAAAAAAAAATAGTACACATATGATTTTACACTAATAATTGTTCCTAGTTCTATTCGAAGTGATCATCAGTGGCGCTGGATTGTATTCTGAGTAATATTTCTTGTTAATACTATTATTTATAAGAAATTTGATAATTTTATACTCACCTACCATAGATGATTTAAAATGAATAGGTTCATTTTTTACTTTAAACAGAGATATTTGTGATATTGGAGCATCAAATTGCTGTGATATAGTTAACACTAAAATATTTTTTATGATGTCAAACATGAATATTTTTACTAAGCCACATTCACATCCATAAGCTGTTATGCGCCTAAAAAACATTAATTTCTTAGTTCAAAACAATCTAGATACACAGTAAATAAAACTTTTTTATTTTTAGATTGAAACATGTTTCTGTAAATCCAAATACTATTGAGTCTAGATAGATAGAAAGAAAGCTTTATTTCATATACATTTTACTTATTCCTTTTTTTTATAACAAAACTTTTTTTTTGGCAATGGTATAGAACCGTCTGCCTGGAGTTGCCCTAAAAATACATACAATAAAAAGAAATAATAATAATGAAATAAATAAAAACAATTAACTTTAGAAACATTAAACAGCCTTTTGTTATTTAAAACAACCTGATGCATATAATCTAAATAAACTTTAATTTGTCAAAAAATAAGAAAGAATTAATTTTTGTTGCATAACCTCAATCTTATACTTGCTTTTATTTACAAATTTACATATAACTAAGTAATACAAAACTAAAGTGTTGTATTGCTGAATCAAAAACATCCTATATTTATAACCTTATATATGATACATATTTCCTCGCGCGGGCTCATAACCGAGTATGGGGAGCGTCCCACGGGTGGTGGATGTGGGGATGGTCGGTGGAAATTCCTTCGAAGTTCCTCCCGGCTAAGTCCAATGGACTCGCTGACCAACAATGAGAGGGGCCCTCCAGATTTGCTGGAGGTAGGGGCCCACCAGACTTGCTGGAGGGTGTGACGTAGGATTGAACGCCCTACTCACATATCTTTAGTTCACCAAACACCACAAAAAGTCATGGATCTCCCTAAGGTAAAACGCTCATTATCCGGAGGTAAACTAGTCCCCCGTTCGGGTCTCCGGGTGGGGACTGCTTTAGGGGATTCATGGTGCAAGTTGAAATATAGGGATTTAAATATTGGTACGTGGAACGTAAGGAGTTTAAACACAGCAGGGGGGCTAAAATCGGTCGCGAATGAGGTAAATGGGTACAATTTGGATGTCGTGGCTCTGCAAGAGGTTCGCTGGCCAGGGGAGGGCTCGATGAGGGAAGGAAAGTACACTATTTGGTACGGAGGAAGCGGGAATCATTGTTTAGGTACCGGGTTTCTAATTAGGAGTAGATTACTATCCGCTTTGAGGGACGTACAATTCTTTAGTGATAGAATTTCGGTAGCTATATTTCAGGGACGTTGGTTTAAAATCGCATTAATAAACATACATTGTCCGACCGAAGACAGTGACGATGAAGTCAAAAGTGAATTTTACGATAAACTCGAATGGGTTTATGATAAACTACCGCGAAACTACATGAAAATAATTGTAGGTGACGCGAACGCAAAGGTAGGAAGGGAAGAAGTTTATATTCCGACGATTGGTAAAGAAAGCTTGCACGAATATAGTAATGATAATGGGATCCGTCTGATAAACTTTGCCATCTCGAAAAACCTGATAATTAAAAGTATAACGTTTAAACATAAGGATATTCATAAATATACTTGGACATCACCGGATTCGCAAACACGAAATCAAATCAATCATGTCTTGATACAACATAGCTGGCAAAGCAGTATAATTAATGTACGGTCTTATCGCGGAGCAGAATGTGGGTCGGATCATGAATTAGTAATCGCGAAACTTCGACAAAAACTTAATATAAAAAAGAGAAAAGAAAATCGTTTCGATTTTGAGAATTTTAATTTGGAAAAATTAAAAAATCCATCAATTAGAAACCAATTCGAGCTAGATGTTAAGAATAGGTTTGAAGCTTTAGAGCTTCCTGACGAGGACCACGAGGATATTGACAAGTTATGGGTAGAGATCAGGGATAATATTAAAGCGGTCGGTAACTCGTGTCTAGGAAAAAAGGAAAATAAGAATAACAAACCGTGGTTTGATGAAGATTGCTTAAACATGTGCGAAAAAAGAAAAGCCGCTAAATTAAAAGCTCTAAATAATCCTAGCGAAGACAATCTGAATACTCCGAACTCAAAGAACGAAACGACAAATGCTCAAAATAAAAAAAGGAGTATCTTAAAAATAAAATAATTGAAATAGAAACTAATAGAATCGAAAATAACGTAAGAGACATGTACAAAGGTATAAACAGATCACGTAAATATGTAGGGCCCGTAACGTCTGGAATTAGGGATGATAATAACAATATTCTGACCGATCCGGTTGACATATTGAATAAGTTTAAGGACCACTTTGACAATATTTTAAATACAGGAAATTATGATCTGTGTCCTCCTTCTGAGTACCAGAGTGCTGAACCGTTAATAGAAGGACCAAGTAAAGAGGAAGTTGAAGTAGCTATCGGAAAATTAAAATCTTATAAAGCAGCGGGAACCGATAATATTCCTACTGAACTAATTAAGGCATGCGGGGAAGCTGGAGTTTCTAAAATACATCGGTTGGTTAAAAAGATCTGGGTGAACGAGAAATTACCTGAAGAATGGAAAGAATCTATTCTTATTCCGATTCACAAAAAGGGTCCGAGGACGGATTGTAATAACTATCGAGGAATTTCACTCCTTCCGGTATGTTATAAAATATTCACTTTAATCTTAACCAGTCGAATCACGGAATACGCCGAGGAAATTATCGGAGACTACCAATGCGGATTTAGACGGAATCGTTCGACTATTGATCAAATATTTTCTTTACGGCAAATAATAGAGAAAAAATTGGAGTACAACGGTATTGTTCACCAGCTGTATATAGATTTTAAAAAGGCTTACGATTCTATTGACCGCCAGAAACTGTATAATATTCTAATCGAGCAGGGGATTCCAAAAAAACTAGTAAATCTAGTCAGGATGTGCTTGACGGAGACACTCAATAAAGTTAGAATCGGTAATAATCTGTCCGAAAAATTTGAGGTTCGTTCGGGCTTAAAACAGGGGGATTCCCTTTCGCCTGTCCTGTTCAATTTGGCATTAGAACATGCCATTAGGGAGGTAATGCGTACCGAAAAAGGGTTGGATCTGGGTGGAACAACATCCGGGCTATGCACATGATCTAAAGGGCAGTCCCTTGGACAGGTTTGGACAGCGAACGGTGGAGGGAGGTGTGTAATAAGCGATTGGTGGTGTCGGCATCGAACCTTCGGGTTCGCTAAGCCTTTTATTATTATTATTATACATATATATACTGTTCCAATCTTGGCCATTGAGTATGTTTATAAGTTCATTGCGGTTTATGATTTTTTTCTTAAAATATTTTATTCTATATTCCTGTAAAATTGGACAAACAGCGAAGTAGTGGTATACATCCTCTATTTCATTTAAATTACAAAGGCTACACAATCTTTGTTGCTCACTCCTCATAACACTATTGTTTAGAAATAATAATTGTCCACGCAATTTAAATATAAATTTAATAAAATGCATTTTATTTACATCTGATATGTAATGCCTTTCACCTAAGTTGCTGTTTAAATCCTTATAAAGGTCATGAAATCTAGACATTCTAGCTTTTTCCCTCATATCCGCTTTAAAATTATTTTCTAATTTAGTTAAAATATGGGGAATTATTTTATCACTAGTGTATTATTGTGATATTAATTCTATTACAGAGCTCAGTGTTTTCTTTGTGCCAAAATATTTTCTGTTTTATTATTTCTTTAGCCAAAATGTTCGGTAATCTTGATGCTGGTAAAGAAAGTACCCTTTGTATATATTGCAAATGTAATGACAAAGTATAGAAGAATATCGTTTAAAATTGGATTCCAAGTATAAAATATTATGAGGTGAATTAGTAGGAAGGGAAAACTTTTTTTTTATGAAAAATGTATTTAGTTTTTCGACTTCTTCAAAACTTTGATATCCCCAGACTTGGCAAGCATAATAAATTATTGATCGCACGGCAGCATTGTAAACATGCAACTTATTCAATAATGATATTTCATTAGTTTTTAATATGCTATTATAGGATGTATTAAGTGCAAATTTTGAGATGTTTAACTTATCTAAAAAATGAGTTTTCAGGTTGCATAGAGGAATCAGGCCTATTCCCAGATAGTTGTAATACTATTGAGTCTAAAAAACATTAATTTCTTGATTCAAAGAGATTCAGATAAACAGTAAATAAAATATTTGTAATTAGAAACTTGTTCTGTACTTTTACAAAAATTTATTTCAATGGTACCTTTTCAAGTCACGAATAAAGTAAATAATTAGTATGCATCAAAGCAAAAATCTTATTCCATTTAAAATCTCTAAACAAATTAGATCATGAAATTATTACAGATATTATTGTAAAAGAATGTATCTAAGGTAAGGCACACAACTTTAGACAAAAATAAAATAAAAAACTGCACGCAATAAGAGGCTTAGTAAAACTTTACTATCTTATTTTCTTTCAGTGAAAATGATTACCTATGTGGTAAAATAAGCCTCAAAACCTAGGTTATGACTACTGCATCTCCATCCTATTCTAAAACAAAATAATACCAAAGAATGAGTTAATAGCCATGACCCTTCCTTCCCAACCCCGAACGTAATCCAAGATATGCAGCTGTAATATGAAGTGTATAAATTTGAAAAATACAAAATCTGATTTATGATACAAAGTTTAATTTAAATTTTCTATTTTACATAAATAATTCAATTGAAAAATCACTCATAATTCAAATATAAAAAAAAAACTGAAACTTATCAGAAATTGTTCTCTCCCCATAATAACTTTTAAAAAAGGAGAGAAAATTTATTTTATTTTTTTGGATATCTAAAAAACTATGAGATTTATCACAAATATTATTCTAAAAATGATTCTATACATTTTTTTTCTAACCCTTATGGTTACAGATATATTAAAGGAGTATAATTTATAGCATTTCCCCTTTTAGCAAAAATGGCTCCTAATATAATTAAATTGCCATTGTTTATGATAGATGATAACATTTTCAGGTTGAATTTGCCAATTAAATTTGTTTTGATCACTTAAATTATATTCAAATGTTTTAGTATTTAAATGGTTCAAGAAATCAATAATGAAAGTTCTACACCAGCATCAGAATACTCAAATGAAAGACTCACATATAAATATAAATAAAAAATACATATTTTTGTATAAATGTCTATATTTTGTGGGAGAAGGTGGGAGGGGGGAGGACTTGACAGCATGTCGTACCTTTATCATTTATTTTATGAAATAAGAACAATAAAAAAGTATTTCATTGCCATGTTTTTAAGACAAAATATCAATAAAATTGAAATAATCAGTTTGGATCAGCAATGGGTACAAATGAGTATTAATGAAAATAATAAAATGTCAATTAATTACAATAAGAACACACATTCAAGAAAACAAATGACACTAAACGGGATATATGCTAGTGAAGCAGGTAGATTTACTTATGTTTCAAGAAATGTCCACCAGGTAGGCAGGTTAGAATCTAGAAAATGATTCCTCCAAACCCTTAATAACACGTGAATTGCACAGACACACTTTCAACTACAACGAAACTAATTAATAAATGAGACTGTTAGAACTTTGGTGAGAAATGATAAATTTCTATCCACTAGCCTATGAGGCAGTTGTTTCATGCTGAGGGTTAAAATATGGTAAATATACCATTGATCAATGGTGTAATTCCATAATTTGTTTAAAGGGTGTTATCCAATAAGAAAATACACAAATATATGTGAACTAATTTTTAATGTGTTCCAATGTTTCTTCTGGAGTTGCAGCCCGGCCTTCATCTGGACTCGCCACCCTGATCAAGGCCTACAACTTTGGCTCCTCCTCCCCCAACTCCCAACCCACTTCTTGAATTTAATTTTAAAATAAGTGAAGAACCAGATTTAAACCCCATGATTTTATACGACACCTATTATTATCACACATTTGAACTGATGAAACTGAAAGAACCATTGTAGTACACTAACATACTTGTTGTTAAACATTTTTAATGCTGCATCTTAGTGAATGATTTGTAACGAATAATTGGGCATATACCACAGGATATTCATCTTTGGAATCAATTATTGTAAAGAACAAGTAAACATTTACTAAATAATGAAAGCAATATATAACAATACACCATTATTACCTTTCTTTATCACAAGTATGTTTTATATCTAACCAGAATACAATACTTGGTAACCTCCCAAATTCAGGAAATAACTCTTCTGCCTCGATTTCAGAATATGTGTGATTTTGAGGATCTTCTCTAAATAAATGCATCTTTAAATCGCTCCCAGATAACAACCAAACTGCCTGTAGAAATTTTAGTCATAGTTAATAAAAAAAAAAATTAAAATTAAATAAAAATATGATACCTAAATATATATTTTTTGGTTGCTCATGGAATGAGTTAAATAAAAGAATTTGAAAATCTGAAAACACATAAATCAACTCATGTGATTGACATAGCAATAAGCTAAAAAAATATGGCTATCAGTATGAATCTGCCAGAAAACCAAATGGTGGTCAGTCAAAATAAAATTTTTAGAATATTTTTTATTATTGATTTACAACTATAAAACGGTGCTTCCTAGCAAAAACTATCTTATTTTAAGAATACTAGTACATCAAATTTAAACAAGTAACTAACATTAAAATTTGGTCCAGGATTATGTTTGAAATTGAACATCAAAACATGACAATGTTTACAAACTTTGCCTTGCTCCATTAGTGATTTGGGTAACACTGACTAATTTTACACCGTTCCAAAGATTTACCATAATAAACTAGAGGCTATGTAACAATCAACAATGCATATCAGAGGATATATGTGATTTTTCATGGTTGTAATAATAGTACCTAGTTTATGGTTATAAAACTTTGGACTGTTGAAAAATAAGTTAGTGTTTCCCAAATTACTTAAGAATCAAGACCAAGTAGTACAAACACCGTATTATTACAACAGTTAATTTTGAACATAATTCTGAACCAAATTTATAATGTTAGTTACTTGTTCTATGCAGGATTTTATTTTATTTTTTACTTTCACTTGCCTATATATACATATATATATAGCTTAATATATGTGCTGGTAATATACGAGTAGCTTAATATATGTGCTGATGGATGGTGCTGAGACTGTCGGTGTGTCCCTGGCCTGATCGAAGCTCTATTTTTTAAAATTCTAGCTTTGAAGAGGATCCCATGGTTGACTAATAAAAAGAAAATACCGGGATCGAAACGTCAATAAACAGAAGAAATGAACATTCAATAGTTTATTAAATAATAATTAAGTGACCTTATTCCCAATTAAATAGTTAAGTTTAAATATATATATATATATAATAATAATAATAATAATAAAAAGGCTTAGCGAACCCGAAGGTTCGATGCCGACACCACCAATCCCTTATTACACACCTCCCTTCACCGTTCGCCGTCCAAACCCAGTCCCTTCAGATCAGCTTTAATGCAATCTTTCCACCTTCGCTTCGGTCTACCCCTCGGACGCTTACCATTCGGCACAGAATATATTAACCTTTTAAGAATTCTCTCGTTACTAAGTCCAACAACTTTACAAGCCCATTTGATTCGCCGCGATGAAATTATCTCAATTATATTACTCGGATACAGTTCACACAATTCGGCGTTGTGTAACCGTCTGAACTCTCCGGTTAACTCATCCTTCTTCGGTCCGAATATTCTACGCAATACTTTATTTTCAAAAACCTTAAGACGCTGCTCATCCCTTAATGTAAGCGGCCAAGTTTCGCACCCATAAAGAACTGTAGGCAAGATAATTGTTTTATAGATTCTAATTTTTAAGTTTCGGAACAAAAAGCGCGAACTAAGTAGTTTTGTCACAGAAAAATATATATATATATATATATATATATATATATATATATATATAGTGAGGGAAATTATTGGGATCATGAAAATTTTTCTAATCAAATTTTTTAACAGAAGTACTTGTTTTGAGGTCCCCTGTGTCAAAATAATAAAGTCCCTCAAAATGGTGTATGTATGATAAGTATTTAACATAGGTATGTGCCTGGGATGTAACAGCAACATCTTTTTGAAAATAAACTAACCGGAAGTGCCACTTTATATCATTTATTTTCCACATTTCTACAATTTTCTTAAAAACGGCTCTGATAATTTTGATTAAATTCAGTGTATCAATGTATAATTAAATGGTCTTTAATATCAGGTAGGTCTTATCCCCATTAATGTCGCTTGAAAGGGATTAAATTCCCAATGTTCAAAATGTCTCTCTCTAATGTCCCTCTAATTTGGTTTATTTTAAATAATTAACTATCTCTTATTGTTAGGAGTAATAAAAAAAAGGCTTAAATATAACCTATTGTTTTTTAAAAGCAATATCTAACACAAAAAGTTGTAAAAGATAATGAAGAGTGACGAAAAGATTGTACATAATAATTTCTGAAAATTAATATTATTTAACGGAAACCACATATTTCCAGGGAAATTAAATGAAATTATTTAATTAAAGATAAACTTCTAAAATTATTTTAGTTTGAAATTAGTTTTTAGTTAAGTTTGAAAAAAGTATATAAAATCCATCGAATCAAGGTAATGACATTGTTTAAAAACTATTTTATTGTACATGTGTGAAGGAAGAAGTGAAATATAAAAATATTTCATGGAGATCGTAAAACATATTTTTATAACCTTAAATACATTTACTGTTGTTTAATAACTCTAGATCCGATATTATATTAATTAATTAGGTATATATTGTCAGTTGATCCAGAAAAATCACGTAACATTTTAGAAAATCAAATTAGTGAATAATTTTATGAATTTTCCTCTGTAGAATAACAACATTATCCATTTACATCATTAGCGCAGACTTTTGATTTTGATTGGGGGGTGATGAATAAAAAAAAAATAAATAAGTGGCGGGAGTATTATGTGTTAAAATTCAACATAATTATTGTAAAACGAGCAAATATAATATTGAATATTTAAAACTAATTTGTTTATATGTTTGTATAGTTCTAAGGATTTATATTTATTTCTTTTCTTAACTTATTATATATACTTGAAAATATCTTTTAAAAAATACATTTGAATATATAAAGTATTTAAAAAGGAAGGAGATGGTCCGGTCATAAATAGGCTTCGTAGTGGTAAAACTATTTTATTGAAAGCTGACGTTTCGGCCCGACTTTGCAGGTCTTCTTCAGGTCTAGAACGGACAAGATTAAAAAAAATAGAGAATTGTGGCAGTTAAATAATTTAATTTAGACACAATTTATAAACAAAGTGAATAAGCTTATTGAAATTATAAACAGTAAGTACATTAAAATATGAACAAAGTAAGCTAAGTAACAAGATCCTAAACTGAAGTAAATAGATGTTAACAATTGTTGTAGTGTAACATATAATAAACGCAAATATGAATATACTTTTACAGATCTACAGGAGAGATTGAAAGAAAAGGAAAAAGGATATAATATGAAATAATAGACATAAAGGAATGTGGAGAAAGAAGAGAAAAAGAAAACCAAAAATTAAATAAATAAGTAAATAAAATGAAAGAATAAAGCTAGAGACTTACAGGTGTGTTCAGCTACGAGTTTCACTTAGAACTGGAAAACCAGGGGTAAGGGCAGGTATAGGGGAAGCTGACTGATTGGGTAATGGGGAAAAACCTAGAAAATTACAGTATCTAAAATATGAAGATATGGATGGATACAATGGAAAAATACTATATCTATGAAATATTAAATTATAAATATGCATATAAAATAGAATTAAAAGATTATAGATAAGAGTACAATGTGAATAAACCCAAAATTGGCAGAAGTAAAATATAAATATAGAAATAACTTCATTTACATACACACATTGCAGAACTAACTTAGAAGTATAGAGGGGGAAAAATTAATAATTATAATTATATTGGGTTATAGATATGTAAGAAAATTACATTTGAATATTAGATAATATTGAGACATGGTTAATAAGTAAAATGAATACAAAGTGGAAAAAGGATGATCATACATTGATGTTGAGAGTAAATATAAATTTTTAAACAAACTGATCACAGCACAACTAACTAACTTAGAACAAAAACCACTGTTAATAAAAAAATACATAGATGACTTGCTACTTATAATAAAAAAAGATTCAGAAAATGAAATAATGAAAAGCTTCAACCAGTATAACAAAAGAATCAGATTTACAATAGAAAAAGCCACAAACAGCAGACTCAGATTTTTGGACATGGACATAATTTTGGACAAAGGACAGATACTTACCAAATGGACAAAAAAAGAGAAAATCAGTAATAGAATCCTTAACTTTAGCTCAAACCATCCCAAACATCAAATAATTAATACAGCCAAGAACCTAATACACAAATCAATAGAACTTACTGACAAACCTTACATTCCACAAGTAAAAACAGAAATATACAAAATACTTATCGAGAACTTTTACCCTGTAAACTTAATCAACAAACTTGGTACAGTCGATTACATACAACACTAAACCATAATGAAAATAAAACCAAAAACAAACAATACAAAAGACACCAAAAGAAAACATTACAATAAAGAAACCTACACAACAATTCATCACCCAATTTTTTAAAAAAACAAATCCAACAAACGAGAACAATCAGGACAACATGTCACAAACAAACAAAATGGACTTTAACTACTACTATAAAATGACATACATATAAATGGACTTAACAAACAGGAAAAATGTAATATATAAATTAAATTGTCAAAACTGCCCCAAAATCTACATTGGTGAAACATCCAAGCAATTAGGGACCAGAATTTCACAACATATTACTAACTGTAAAAATACAAAAAACATAAACACAACAGCTTTAGCACATCACAGCATAAGATTACAGCATAAATTTAACTTCAATAAACCACAGATAATAGGCACAGAACCAAAAAACACCAATAGGAAATTACTTGAAGCAATACACATCACAAAAAACAATAGAACAACAGTAAATTATAAAACAGACACTAAACATTTAGGAACTCATTATACGGACATATTAAACAAAATTAAAATTTAATAGAAATGAAATTGCAGATACATAAAATAAACATTAACAACAATAGTATAAAAATAAACAGTCAGATCCAAAGGTCAATTGTATTCACTATGGCAGACACCCAATAATTAGTCTAAAAGCAAGATGTTGCTCTAGATGTTATATACCTAGATTATTATAACATGAATTAGAAACTGACGATGGAGCACATTAGTTTTAAGGTAATTACAAATTTATTGTAACAACAAAATTCTGACATGTATTGTAACATGCACTATATTTTAACTCAAAAATTTTTTAGCCTTGTATCCACAAGATCATTGGGATTGTGGTTCTGAAGATGGGAGTAAATATCCCGAAACGTAAACTTGTAAACATGCAATTTTGATAATACAACAAATATATTCAATTGTTGCTAATTGGAAGTAATCATTGCCAAATAACTAAGAATATCATACCACTTCCCAGAAAAAAGAAAAAAGAATAAATTTAAAATAAAATAAAAAGAGAGATCATACAATTTTTATTTTATTTTAAATTTATATTTACACTCTACATCAATGTATGATCATCCTTTTTCCACTTTGTATTCATTTTACTTATTAACCATGTCTCAATATTATCTAATATTCAAATGTAATTTTCTTACATATGTACAACCAAATATAATTATAATTATTAATTTTTTCCCTCTCTATACTTCTAAGTTAGTTCTGCAATGTATGTATGTAAATGAAGTTATTTCTATATTTATATTTTACTTTCTGCCAATTTTGGGTTTATTCACATTGTACTCTTATCTATAATCTCTTAATTCTATTTTATATGTATATGTATATATTTATAATTTAATATTTCATAGATATAGTATTTTTCCATTGTATCCATCCATATCTTCAAATTTTAGATACTGTAATTTTCTAGGTTTTTCCCCATTACCCAATCAGTCAGCTTCCCCTATACCTGCCCTTACCCCTGGTTTTCCAGTTCTAAGTGAAACTCCTAGCTGAACACACCTGTAAGTCTCTAATTTTATTCTTCCATTTTATTAACTTATTTATTTAATTTTTGGTTTCCTTTTTCTTTTCATAAGTATATAAATTATACAAAAATTCCTTAAATCGACTATAACCAACTTAACATCTTGGCCTTAAGTCCCATAACAAACTTTCTTTCCTTTTCACCAACTTGAAGGATCCCATACTTTTACAACACCGATCTAATGTAGTTTACCGGATACCTTGCTCTACTCCTAATTGTAATAGCTCCTATACTGGCAAAACCATCTCAAAATCCGCATTTCCCAACATAAAACATCCATAACTTCCCGGAATCCTTCCGCCTCCAAACTATCAGAACATGCCTTAACCCTCAACCATTCATTTGATTTTGAAAAAACCTCTATTCTTGCCACGGTCCCTAACCATGAAAAAAGACTCATTTCCGAATCCATCCACATTCACATGGAACAGAATCCTGTTAATCATAAAGTAGATAAAAACTGCATTTCTTTAACATATAGACACATTTTAAATCTTATAAGTGAAAAATAACTTATATATTACATCGTATTATTTTTATCTACTTTCAATTTTTATTGATTAATTCAATTTAATTGTTCATTATTCTAAGTATTTCCGCTTTGTATGATCTCTCTTTTATTTTATTTAATTTTATATTTACATTCTACATCAATGTATGATCATCCGTTTTCACTTTGTATTCATTTTACTTTTTAACCATGTCTCAATATTATCTAATATTTAAATGTAATTTTCTTACATATGTACAACCAAATATAATTATAATTATTCATATTTTTTTCCCCTCTCTATACTTCTAAGTTAGTTCTGCAATGTATGGTCTCTTATTTCTATATTTATATTTTACTTCTATGTACGTTTTACTTCTTCCATTTTTGTTTTTATTCACATTGTACTCTTATCTATAATCTCTTAATTCTATTTTATATGTATATGTATATATTTATAATTTATTATTTCATAGATATAGTATTTTTCCCTTGTATCCATCCATATCTTCAAATTTTAGATACTGTAATTTTCTAGGTTTTTTCCCATTGACCCAAACAGGTCAGCAAATTCCCCAATACCTACCCTTACCCTGATTTTCCAGTTCTAAGTGAAACTCCTAGCTGAACACACCTGTAAGTCTCTATTTTTATTCTTCTAATTTTATTTATTTAATTTTTTTTTTTTCTTTTCTTTCTCCACATTCCTTTATGTCTATTATTTCATATTATATCCTTTTTCCTTTTCTTTCAATCTCTCCTGTAGATCTGTAGAAGTATATTCACATTTGCATATATTATATATTACACTACAACAATTGTTACCATCTATTTACTTCAGTTTAGGATCTTGTTACTTAGCTTACTCTGGTTATATTTTAAGCTACTTACCTTTTACAATTTTAATAAGCTTATTCACATTGCTTATAATTTTTGTCTAAATATTATGTAACTTCCATAATTCTCTATATCTTTTTGTATCTTGTCCGTTCTAGCCCTGAAGAAGACCTGCAAAGTCGGATCAAAACGTTGGCTTTTAATAAAATAGTTTTGCCACTATTTAGCCAATTTGTGACCGCCACCTCAGACCATCTTCTTCCTTTATAATGCAACGGTCAACTATTAAATATTCAATATGTAATGTTTAATGTTTAGCTATGTTAAAAATTATAGACTATTGTTTTAGGAGGCGGAAAATATTCGAATATGTGTTGCAGATCTTTTCTTTATCTACTTTGTGGTTTACCGGGTTATTTTTTTCCAAATCGATGAATGTAGCTTCAGAAAGTAGTCGTTTTTGGTGATTAAGAACTGTGGCAAGTATGGTTCTGTTTTCAAAATCAAATGTGTGGTTGTGGGTTATGGCGTGTTCGGCTAGTTTCGAGGCGAGCGGGTTTCGTGTAGAGATGCTATTACAAAAACTTGGTAATAGCCCAATATTGTCAGAAAATAATTCCTATTCAAATTAGAGTGGTAAGAGAAAGTTGAGTGATGCATGCACCAGATTTTTATTCTTAGAATGGGAAAGTTTTTGCTATTAAAAGAAAAAAACGTTTTGGATTTGTAGATGAATTAATGAAAGAAGTCCCAAAATTTCAATTTTGATTGGTCCCTATTTTATATTTCAGTGAACTCATACCTGAAGATGTCTATTTTTTAGTTCTTTTTCTAGGAATTGTTTAAAATAGGTGAAACTTGGTGTAAAATAAATCATGTTTTTCTACATGTGCTTTTGAACTATTAAGTTCTTATATTGAATGAGTAAGAACCAATTGCTTTAAGATTTTACTCTGTTCAGTAATTGGCTAGTCTTTTAGTTTAGTGTGTCGATCTTTCTTTTAGAGTTGGTAATTAATTTACCATGTATAATTTACTTAGTTACAACGTCATAAGGCTTGACTCTTATAAGCCACCTTATTTAATAGTAAAATTCCTCAACCAAGCAGAGGACTTCAGGATTAATGCCAGTTTGTATCTTCATGTGTAGATTATCATTTCTAACATACCAGAGTATACAAACTACACTTTAAAGTATTATGTTTTGCAAAGTTATGATAGATTGAACTTGGGGAAAATGGAATAAAAAGGAAGTAGCACATTTTGTTGACCACCTAAAGAAAATTTTTCAGCCATCAGCTCAACAAGCAAAGAAATTATAAAAAAAGTAGAAAAGAGAAATATAAAAATCGGTAACTCTTTGATAATTGAAATCACAGATAAAAATTGGTCAGATAATAAAAGAACTGCTGGACTAAACTCTAAGAAAACTACTGCACCTTATAAATACAGCCTTCAAATCAAAGTATGTATCAATTATTTGGAAAGTGGCTGAGATCATTATGATTTCAAAGCCTTAAAAGCACCTATGTGGCAAGGATGGAGAATGAAGCAATCCCCCAGATGATCCTGACAGAACCTCTCTACAGCACAAGAAGTAGAGGGAGACCAAAACTAGGATGGTCAGACGGTGTGGCAACAGATTCAAGGGATATCCTGGGTGTCAGGAGGTGGATGATGGCTGCACAGAATAGAGATGAATGGAGGAAGCTAGTAAAGGAGGCCAAGACTCGTCACCAAGTTGTAGCGTCATGATAGTTAGGTAGTTGGAAAGCACCTACAGGTGCAAAATTGTATAGACCAATTTCATTGTTGCCTGTCACTTCTAAACTGATCGAAAAGCTCTTTTTGAAAAGGCTTTGCAAGAGTAGAGAAATTTTATTCCAGATAACAAGCTTGGATTTAGATAAGATGTTCTACTATTGAAGAGGTGTATGTAATGAATACTCAACGTTAAAGAAATTAAATGGTGTTCCACAAGGTAGCATACAGTGTTCCATTCTATACTTGCTGTATACTAGAGACTTCCCCTCCTCTAATTGGGAAGAATTTTGGAGTTATAGTGAATACAGCCTGAGAAGATTTATATACACACAAATATATACATGTGAGAGTGTGTGTGTGTGTGTGTCTTTTTAGCAAATTATATGGACATTTCTTCTTTATATGTGCGTGGAAGATTGATAGTTGAGGAGATGTAGAAACAAATAGTCTTTGAAAGAGGTAGAGAATTCCAAAACGAAGTATCTCAAACCACAAAGTATTTTTCCTTCTATACTTCTTATGTTCAGAATTTAGAAAACTACAGTTGATACAATTTGAATGCCTTGACATTTTACTAAGTTAATATATACATCAAACATATACCTCAACCTGTATTCAATCATAACACAATAGTATAAAATCAAACACAAAGAGTAAATAAAAATAAAGAACCTCTTCAATTTTGTCTTGATTAAACAGGCTTGTGTGATATAGCTGATAAGGAATAAATGTTAATTCAAGCATTAAGCAATTTTGAGCTAAACAATCGAGGTTCAACTCTCCTTTTTCTTCAACATCTTGCTCTGTATAAATATTTAAGTAGGTTTCAGTGCTCTGATCACCATTTACCTAAATATAGAAATAATGTTATAGAATAAATATTTCAAAAGACTCTTTTACTACTTACACATTTACTACTATCACTTATGAAAATCAATACTACTATAACAAGAATGAAGGAATTGCAGGTTTATTTGCTCAAAATGATATTCAAAGATGAAAACGTATAATAATATATAAGAATCCTGATTATTAATGAGAAAATGAAAGTAAAGAACCATGGCGAGACAAAAAAAAACTTAAAGATTTAAAATCATTTTAAATCAATGGTATAGTTAAAATTGCAGGTTTATCCATACAGTAAAACTTCTCAATAGAGGACATGTGCGGTTAATTGACTTTTGTATGCTACAGAGAGGCGCAAATTAAATAGAAACAGGAAGGAAAAAAATAATAAAATAAAATTTGACAGATTAAAATTGTATTTTTTTAATCATCTCAAGGAAATTGTTTATAAAAAAAAAAATTCTAAGTAAAACTCCTAGCTGAACACACCTCCCTGAAGAAGACCTGCCAAGTCAGGTCGAAACGTTGGCTTTTGAAGTACTGAAGGCTTTCAAGTACTTGAATGCTACTTTTTCTAAATTTCGAGCTTTGTTTTTTTGTTTTTTTTTTACAAGTCTTTTCTAGAGATTTTGTTGGTTATTGTTACCCAGAGTGTTTCTGGTTTTCTTCCCAAACAAGCCGCCATTCTGCTAGATCATTCCTGGAGATTCCACAATGTGAAGGGACCCGAATGAACACCATTCCTTACAATTTTGCTTCCATTGCCACCATATATTCCTTATTTTTCTTATCAGAGTAGGTCTGGTGGTCTGGGTATTGTTTATGGCAAATAGTGCACTCCTAGAGTTCGTTATTATGGGCCATTTGACATATTCACTTGATTTGATATGTACAAGAGCTTTCTGTATTACCACAATTTCTCCAGTAAATAACAAACATATATCCAGCAATTGGTATATTTTTTTTTTTAAGTCAATGCTTACTAGAAAACATCCCACCACCTCATTGTTTTCTTTTGAAGCTTCCATATATAAGAAGTTTTTTTTTTTTTATATTTCTCCAATGTTTTCAGACATTTTTTTTTTTTTTTTGCATTTCAATAAGGATAGTAATTTCTTTTTTAAATAGTGATCACTTTATCTACTTCTGAAGTCGCAAGTATCCATTGGAAGCGATTAAATCCCACACATCTAGAATATTATCTAATTATAGTGCCGTGTTCCCAATTTTTTTAAGAGTTTCTACTAGGAAGTTTTCCTCACTTATCTAATCTCTATTAAGCAATAGAGTATATAGGAGTGCAAATGTAGATTCTGACCACTATTTGATCATGGCTTGAATTAGGGTGAAAATATCTAGTGCAATGATATGCAAATCAGCTGCACAAAATAAATTGAATATAATGAAACTGAAAGGACCTGATACGCTCACTTCCTTTCAAAAATGACTAGATGAAAGAATGATTGATGCACTACTATGACTACGCACGGTCAATTTGGATAGTATTTAGGATACATAGAATGGTCTGGAAACAGCCATAACCAAGACAGCAGAGGCTACCCTTGGATTTAAAGATCCAGAAAGGAGATCCCCGTGGTTCAATGCAGAATGTAGGAGGGCAACTGAAGCAAAAAACGTATTCTACAGACTGATGGTACAGAAGCGGTACACAAGGCAGGCAACTGAAAAATATAGAATGGAAAGACAAGTTGAGAAGAGACTCCATAGAAAGAAAAACATTGCGAATTATTTCACAATGGTTTATTATTTCAAAACAATTATACATCTAAAGTAATATTATCTTTCTAGTGACAAAGAAAAAGAAATAAAAGGTGATTCCAATGATTGGCCTAAACATTTGTTTTTCGTCATTAGTAACTTTCTAAAAAAAAAAAAAAAATAGCATTACTTCTGTAACACATTTAAAAATCAAAAACCAAAACAAAGGATATAACCTTTGCAGTAGAAAATATACAAATAACTAGAGACCGTATCTTTGCTCCAAATTGTCCGATTTTAACAATTTTGTTTGATTTTTTAGGAAATTTCGTAAACTTTTAAATAACCATATACAATATAAAAAAAAGTATATACTTTTTGAGTTATTAGAAATCTTATTTTACCATCCCTTGTAACTTTTTTTCCATCTTCTTTTCACTGAAGTATGTCATATAGATAAATTTAAAGGGCATCAAGAAGAGGACTTTAGCCAAGTTTCGTTGAAATCCGTACATTCGTTTAGGCGCTGCTGTCTATAGCAACGACGGTTTTTCGGCCGCCATTTTACAAGGAAAAGGCGGATCATCCTTGAGTGATCTCTGATTTTAAATCCAAATTTGAAAAAAATCGGTAAGGAATTTCGGAGAAAATGCGCGGACGGCGGACAGACAAAAAAATTGTATTCGTTTTTCGAATTCTACATACCCTGAAACGTAAAACCTCAAATTTTGAGAGGAGGTCAAGTTTTTGAATTTTTTGTTGGATTACAATGGTTCATTATTGAAAATAATAAACCAAAAATATTTAAAAATCGCGATATCTTTACTAATAGTGCTCTGATTTCGATGAAACTTTCTTCATTTTTCAGGAAATTTAAATACCTTTGTAACATCTTATCACAATATCAACAAAAAAGTGTATACTTTTTGAGTTATTCGGAATCTAATTTTACCATTCCTCGTAACTTTTTCCAGCTTCTTTTCGTTGAAGTATTTTATATGGATAAATATAAAGGGCAATGAGAAGAAGACTTTAGCCAAGTTTCGTTGAAATCGGTATATTCGTTTAGGCGCTGCAGTTATATAGCAACGATGGTTTTCGGCCGCCATTTTAAAAGGAAAAGGCGGACAGCAATATCGATGAAGGAGGATCATCCTCGGGTGATCTCTGATTTTAAATCCAAATTTGAAAAAATCAATCCAGTAGTTTCGGAGAAAATGCGCGGATGGCGGACGGACAAAAAATTATTCAGTCGTTTTTCGAATTCTACGTACCCTGAAACATAAAACCTCAAATTTTGAGAGGAGGTTAAGTTTATGAATTTTTTGTTCGATTATAATGGTTCATTATTGAAAATATTATAATCGAAAAATACTGAGAAATACCAATAGAAATAAAATGTTTTTAAGTTAATAAGGGAAGGACTCCTTTTAGGCCAAGACTTCAATCATGCAGAAAGGAGGATGATTCACTCCAAAAATTATTCAATCGTTTTTCGAATTCTACGTACCCTGAAACATAAAACCTCAAATTTTGAGAGGAGGTTAAGTTTATGAATTTTTTGTTCGATTATAATGGTTCATTATTGAAAATATTATAATCGAAAAATACTGAGAAATACCAATAGAAATAAAATGTTTTTAAGTTAATAAGGGAAGGACTCCTTTTAGGCCAAGACTTCAATCATGCAGAAAGGAGGATGATTCACTCCTCACTAATAAGAAAGAAGTACTTGAAAGATGGGCAAGACATTTTAATGACCTACTGAACGAGGGAGCAGCTGAATCAGCAGGATTTTGTGGGTAACAATAACATCATGCTTGATGATAGAGAAATAGAACCCACTGAACTTGAAAATATTCAGGATGCGATTGCCCAGGTGAAAAAACAAAAGGTACCAGGAGGTGATGGACTACCACCTGAGTTATTTAAATATGGTAGCGAAGAGCTACATAAGCTCATTTATGATCTGATATCCTCCATCTGGACACAGAAAAGAATGCCTCTTCAATGGAAATATTTGGTCATATGGCCTGTACACAAGAAAGGAGAACAATTGGAATGCGCCAACTACTGAGGGATTTCATTACTGCAGTGCGCATATAAGATACTCTCCAACATCCTCTACAATAGACTAGTTCCATCCATTGATTGTCAAATTGGAAAATATCAAGCTGGTTTCCGAAAAGGTAGATCAACTATTGATGAAATATTCACTCTCCAAACGATTATAGAAAGAAGTTATGAGTATAAAATTCCCACTCATCATCTGTTTATTGACTTCAAGAGCGCCTACGATACAATAAGGGGACACAAGTTGTATGAAGCAATGGGAAAACTTAACATACCCTCTAAACTAATTTGTCTGGTGAAAAGGACAAAACAGGACGTACAGTGCTGAGTACGCATTCATTTGGAATGCTTCTCAGAGTTTCCCACCAATAAAGGACTGAGACAAGATGATGCTTTAGCATGTTTATTGTTCAATTTGGCTCCGGAAAAAGTAATGAGGGACTCTGGCATTCAGACTAGGGGCACAATACTTACAAATATGGTGCAACTATTAGGTTATGCCGACGACATTGATATTGTTGCACGGTCCTTTGCAGCTCTTGAAGATGCCTTCCTTGAATTGCAAAAAGCTCCACATTAATCAGAATAAAACAAAATATATGTATACAAAAGAACTAGAGAATCCCCCAAAACAAAGAATATCTCTTGGCCCTTACACCTTTGACCTTGACCCTTACACCTTAGAATGGTATATGTTCAGTAAATTTCCCCTGTCTGCTCCCCAGGTTGTGTGTGTAAAATAGATTTGAGCAAAATAAAATTAATTATCAGTAAAAACGGAGAACTATTCATATGTTCTGAAGCTGAAAAACTTCCTCTCCGTAAATCTCCTGGATACGACCTCCTTACCTCTTAAATCCTTTGACAACTTCCTCCTAAAGCTGTTATATTTCTCGCCTACTTATATAATGCCATCCTAAGAACCACCCACTTTCCTCTTTTGTGGAAACATTCCACTATTATCCTGTTTCCGAAACCAGGCAAACCTCCCAACACCTCAACGTTCTACAGACCAATTATCCTACTTCCGATCCTCTCAAAAATCTTCGAAAAGATCCTCCTGAAACGAATCCTACCCTTTATAGAATCCCAAAATCTTCCTTCCCATCAGTTCGGATTCCGTTCACAACACTCCACAGTCCAACAATCTGCAAAGGCACCTCTCCCTGATTGAGCACTGGTGTAATAAATGGCGCATCAAAGTAAACGAA